AAATTTTTCAGAGTGCGTGGCTGACGCCACGCACCTCCATTCAAAAATTTTTTTCGCCCCCCCCCAAAAAAACTTCTGAATACGCCATTGGTTGCAACATATAGCGACAAAGTGCCTACCCTGGCGTTCCGTATTGATTGCATCCGGCAGCAATGTAAAAGATAGGCGCTTTGCCTGTCTTGCTCCACGATAGTCAACACATCTTACAGCAGGCTCCGAGCTATATGTCACGACATGCGGGGAATTTACTATGTTCTAAGATCTATCGAGACACTTAAACACTTTTTTCAGGAGAAGAGAGAAACATCTACATTTTTGACCACCATACTTCAATCAAACCCATGGAAAGTGCTATATGAATTCCTACGCAAGAAAAGTTTGTATTTAACCTTTCAACACTTCAAAATTCAAACGTTCACATCGTTTAGACCATCCATTCGCAAAAGATCCAATAACATTCCGTTACTGGATGGCACAACTGTGGTTCGTTCACTATTCTCGCGCACGAGGCAGAGCTGACACCTCAGGTTTCGAGCATGTTTTTATAGGAGAGGTAAGTAATTTTTCACGACCCTAGCATGATTTTCCAAAAATCACACATTTATTCGCGTTCAGGTGAAAAACCATGAAATCACCGGAATGCATAACTGGATTCGCTTTTATCAATTGGAAAAGAACGAGACAGAAGAGTTTGACTACAAAGGATATGTCATAAAACGAGGAGTACGTTGATATAGAGTCAATCCTGCCAAGATTATAAAAGTCTGAACTTTTTGACAGAACGTGATGGCGTCTCTTAAATTCACCTGGAAAGGAGATCTAAAGCGATCTGGATCGTTGCTGATAGGAACATCTCCTGAATACGACATGGCCCTATACACACTGTGCTTCTTATCGCGACGTGGACGTCAGCAGTGTGATGTAAGCATTTTTGGTAATATGGCGATTCGCAATACCGTAAGGCTGTCGTGACGCTTCCATGCAAGACTGCTGCGCGCGACACAATCTACGACAGCCTTTGCCTAGGCGAAAAGGGAGGGCAGGCGTTAGGCGACAAAACTTGCAAAACGCAAGGAAGAGCTCGCAACACACAACTTGTTGCCATTTTTTGAATGG